TCCACCAGAATTAGAGGCCCAGATCTGACCACACGGACAGTACAGGGTAAATCATCTGTGCTAATCAGGTGTTGATTGGTGATTCTGATTGCTGAATAAAGACGCTACTAACCGTCACCCTCTGACCAGCCTTCAAGGTGAATTTAGCTGGGAACTTGAAGGCGATGGGAGTGCCAGATCCCACCTGCCGCTTCACCTGCCAGTTCCCCAGATTCTGATCCTACAAGAGCAAGAGGGTAGTTGGGTAAAAACGTCAGAGTTCAAAGTCACTACATTACAAATAGTAATGTAGTCAGTCCACCTCCAACTTCTCCATCTCACCTCATCAGCTTTGTTGCTGAGTCTGACATATTTCCCATCCAGATCCACCTCGTCCACAGTGACACGTCCACTGGCCGAGGCCTGCTGGGTGATGCGAGTGCGGGAAACGGCTCCACCGGCGAAGCTGGAGGCCTCGCTGTCGGTGTCGTTAGGGCGACGTCTCTTAGCAGGGGAGTTCTGAGCGCTGTGGTGGATAGATCGAGAGAGAGCTCCAGAAGTAGAGGATCGACTTCCCGCCGCCCTGGTAGGAGGAGGGCTGGGCGAAAGACGCAGTCTGCAGAGAGAAACATGTTGATGACGATGATGAGATAAATGAAAAAGTTTATGAACCACACAGAGGAAATGATGAGCGTCGTTACACATACCTTTGCTCTTCTCCCTCCAGCAGCTTCCTGTAGGCGCATATCTCCATGTCCAGGGCCAGCTTAACATCGAGGAGTTCCTGATACTCATCGAGCTGCTGCTGCATCTGGTGCCTCATCTCTGCCATCTCTCGATCCTTCTCACCCAGAAGGCGACGCGTGCTGTCCCGCTCCCGCGACAGAGCATCCTCGAGGTCCCTGATCTTTGCCTCACGAGCTGCCAGCTGGATCAAACCAAAGAGTCACAAAGTTACTGCCTGATAGGATCAAACAAGCAAGTCTGGAGACCTCAAGAGCAATCAAGGAGTGAGTTAATAATTGAGCTCAAAAAACAAAGGAAATCTAGAGAAACCATGAAAAACTGAACTTTTAAACAAATAAATGGAGTTTACAGCCAGCATCAATTTGAAGAGCCTAATTCATGTAAATCTATAAAAACAA